TATATATATATATATATATATATATATATATATATATATATATATATTTTAAAAAAAGGAAAACATAATATTTATTCCAGAAATTATTGAACCAAGGTCAAAAAGTGGATATTTTGCAGAGGAAAAAATCTGCCGAGGAAGAGAGACTCTTCGACTAAGAGCCAAAGGTTCTGCTACAGTAGAAGAAATGGTGAGTTTTTAATTCATACATCTTTGTCCTGAAGGCAGATTTTTGTTCTGTTTGGATGAAGCCCTTAAACTATAGCTATAACCACAAATATTCCCTTTACTCTGGTGAATTTAGCATCTGCCTCATTTCTTCTGTTCCCACTCTGCCATGTGCTGTTGCTGCTCCTATTATGCCATCTGTACATTTTCCAGCAATGAAAGTTGCACAGCAATTTTCCTTAAAACATTGATTTCAGGTTGAGATTTGACTAAAAATAATAGCTTAAGAAGTGCAAATTTAAAGCAAAAAGTAAAAGGAAGTGGAAAGGAGATAGGAATTTATTCGCAGATAAAAAAATCTCTTGTCACAAGATTGTGATGCTCTTTACTGTGATACCTGCACTCAATTTGGTTTCTTTATGGTATTTCATGTTTGAAACTGGAAAACTGGAAGCGTATTGGTAGAAATACCTTTGCCTTGGCATTGTAATATACCATGCTTCTTAAAAAAGGAATGCATTTACAGAAAGATCTTGGCATTGTTAATTGTGTAAGATCCTTTCAGGTATCTGTTCCCTCAGTGTTCCTTTCTCAAGGCTAAAACGTCCTAGTTCCTTCCAAAGGAGCTTTTTCAAGAGGCAACCAGACTTTCTTGTTTTTCTTTAAAGACATTTCACTTATCATCCAAAAAGCTTCTTCAGCTCTGACTTGGTGGCAAATGGAAGGATTTATATTCCTTACAGACAGCTAATCATTTGCATTCTTTTAGAGCAGGGTTGTCAAACTCGATCCCATTGCAGACAGTATCAGGATTTTGTTTACCTTGGCGGCCTGGGGTGGGCATGGCCTGGTCATTGTGGCCAGGATGGGCATGGCCAGGGTAGACTGGGGCTGGGGCAGTAGGGGCCTGTCCCTTGCCGTCTCCAGGATGGCCACACGGGACAACTCTGGGCATATCATGGGCCAGATCCGGCCCGCGGCTTTGTGTTTGAGATGTCCGTTTTAGAGAATCATTGAGGCTGCTTGGAGGTTTATCTGTATCCTCAGGATCACCTGAGTAGTGCCAATGGGTGTAGAGCCTTCTTGGAACTGCTGAAAAGACTGTGTTGTCACAAAATAAACCCTTCCATTTCCCCACCATCCATTCAGAGCTGAAGAAGCTTCTTGGATTTTTAAGTACTATAATTAATCTGTTTTGCATTACTCATTGCATAGTTTATATATTCTATTATAGTTTATATATCTTCCTTCCTTTTGGTGAAGCTTTCAGATGTTGAAGAAAAGGCTACCAAAAAAGTGGATGATCTTCTGGAAATGTACATGGGAATAAGAGATCTTGAACTAGGTCAGTATTTAGGTAACAAACCTTCATTTCTAGTTCTGCTGGGGCTGCCAGAACTTCAGTATAGACATATTCTGAATGTGATATAATATATTATTTCTTATTTTTTTTGCCAGCCAAAACAGTGTGGTAGGCCTGTGGAACTATGATACATATCCGTAGCTTTAACTTGAATTTAAAACATTTTGTATTATGACAAATGATTTAATGTACCATGGTTCCCAAACTATTAAGATGT